ATTACATCTCTAGTAATGTCTTCCATTATTTTTACAACTCAAACCAGATTGTGAGACCAGCCAGAGCACTTGACTTCTCTAGGAGCAAACCATATTAATAAAGTCTAAGGCCATAAGGTATCATAGTCCTTGGGAATAACAGAAGCCACAGAACTCTATCAAGTACCTCTTGGTTCTTCAATAATTCTTGCTCTCAACTACAGCTCCTTTTTGAAAGACATCTAGTCTTGACTTCAAATGAAGGAGAATCCTCCAGATCTTTCAGTAGGCTTTTCTAGTGATTGATTCCCTCCACATTAAAAAGGGAGCCTTATTTACAGCTTAGGTTTGCCTTGTTTCAGCTTAAAACTCCTGGATAATATGGTGCCCTTGGGTACCAATTTGAAGAGCTTCAAATAGCCTTTCATGTAGTCAGATATATTCTTTCACAGCCCTCTTAACTTATCTTATATATGCTGAATAAATTTGGTCCATTAAGTCTCACACTCAACATATTATACACATTTAAATCTTGTGGCTATTTTTCTGATTACTTTCCAGCTTTTCAACATTCATTTTTAAAATGTCTATACTAGTAATTCCAGTTGATTAGCATCCATCTGTGAGCAAACTCTCTAAAGAGAACAAATGTCTTAGCAAAAACAAAGAGAAATTGCACAATGGCATGAACTGAAATAAATATGGCACAACATTTTGTATGCTCCTAAATTGACCCCTGATACTAAGATTCAATTCTAACAAAGCGCTAAGGACCTGTTTTACTAATAGCTACATCCACACATAAGTCTCACTGACTTCAATAGGGGTATGCATAAAAATAATTTTTTTTTTTGCAGATCAAGGGCTATATTTGGGGAGACAAAACAAACTTCAGGGGAGTATGTTGTAGTCATGTACAGTATGTGTCCAGCCACTAGTGGATCTAAAATTTTGAAAAGAGAGGTACAGGTAGCGAGGTGTATTGGCACATATAAAACAACACATATTTTTCTCCAATTCGGAAGGGATCAGGTAGATTACAATGAGCCACGAAGTTAGGTGACTCCCTCAGCAGTGACTGACTAGAAATGCTGCTGCCACTGCTGCCAGGCAGTTGGTTTTAAACTTTGGCTCGAACAGGAATCCAAGAGAGGTGCAAGTGCACCAATGCACCCCCCCGCCTCCCCACCCCCCACCCCTGTGTGCAGCCCTTCTAGTTTAAGCCACTCAAAATATCCTGACTTCAGTTTCTGTTCTCAGGTGTCTTAAAATACATTCCTGGGTAGTGCTCTAGCACACAGGAGACATTTCCCCCTTCACAAAACCATACCTTATTCTTCCCTTCTATTACTGCCATGCGCTCAGTGATGCTCTGTATTCTGTTTCCTGTGATACTGCCAGGTTTCAAGGTGAAAGATCCCTCAGTGTTAGAGCAAAAGCCATACCTGCAGACAGCAGAAATAGAGTACTGCTTTTAGAAAGACGAGTACAGAAGGAAACATGAAGGATTCAGAGTAGCTTGCTTGAGGATCCACTACTCCAGTGGAAGTCAGAGGGAGCCACTTCATACTGGTAATATCCTTAAAAGAACCAAACTTTCCCAGTAGTTTATGGGTTATTTTTACTCTGTGTTGATGTTTCACTCAGTCGGACTTCAGACATGAAATTCGGATTTAGACCAGAATTTGAACTTAATTATGTGGGCCCAATGTTCTGGTTTTACTGTCCCAAAGTTATGATTGAGACTTAACTTTGATCATTAGTTACATTATTTAAAAATTTAAAGAAATGCAAAAGAATTTGCCATTCTATTAGTGTCTATTTCTTAACAATTCAGTTGCAATTTCATTACATGAAGGTCCTTTTAATAATCCCAAAAGCTAATAATGCAAGAACTATATTTTATTTTTTGTTTCAACGGATTACCTTTCAAGTATTGCATTTAACCTGCAAAATGGCAAAACATTGATGCTGAGACTCATTTGTAACTAGGCATGCAATAAAAAAACCCCAAAACATTCCAGATGAACAAACTAAATAAGTTAGAGCTAACTGCCAAAGGGTTCAGACATTTTTATAATCTTAAAAAAACCCCAATGTTATATTAATGAATGGAAACCCGAAAAAAACTTTTGCCAGACTTACACAACAAATTGGCTTATAATCAGAACATTCAGGGGTGGACATGGTAGAACTAATTTGGTTTTTTTAAAGCTTAATTTAGTACATATACTAATAAACACTGGAAATTTAAAATTTCCGTCTTTCTTGTTCTTTCAGACCATCTGATTCTCTTCTTTAACTAGCTTGTTCAGTCCCTATTTGAAATGTAGACTTTGGCCACCCACTTGGGAGGAGCTCTTTTAAGTTTGACACGTAAGGGTTTTAAAGATAGTTTCATAGTTTCTAGGGTCGGAAGGGACCTG